AATGTATTGCTAATTGCTATTGCTTTTGTATGATTGAAAAGAAAGCCTACTGGATGGCCAAAAAATTAAACGAAAAGAAAGTTTAATAGATTCCAACACAGGATGAATTATGTAATCAGATCAGTTTTCTTTTCTTCCAACCAAGAGAATAAAAATTTGAGAAAATCTAAAAATAAAAGCTATTACAAGATTTGATTCTAACGCATACACGGTTAGCAAAATGTTAATTAACCAAGGATATTATGTAGCATGCACTATTAATTTAAAATGTTAGAACATTAACAGCAACAAGTATGTGTAGGTATAATAATTTAGAAAAAGTAGATGTTGGTCCAATGAATAGTGATAAAATAAAGAAAATAGGATATAAATTTACAAAATAAAAAGTAGAACTAAAATATATTAAAACTTTAATCTAAAAGAAATTCAAACTGATTAAAAAATAAAATATTAATTTATTAAGAAAGTAAAACACAAAATATAAACAAACAAACTACTCTAAAATAATAATAAATGATTTAAAACACTCATTTAACCAAAAAGATGTATGTTGCATATCTTTCAAGTGACAAAAAAATTGGTATATAATATCACTGCATCAATTGACTAATACAACACTCCTACTCTTGGTCAAGAAAACAAAAGCATTTCCATCTTTGCTGTTGGCTTCGGTATCAATCTATAATGTCAACGAAGAGGTTGATTTGGATCCATCATACAATTGTAAGATATTCTTTTGGCTATAATGTTGATAAATGCATAGAAATCAGATAATAGATAATACCAATGAATAAATATATATTTGGTCTATAAGTTTTTAATAATTATATTATACATAATATTTTAGTACCAAATTTAGTATCTAACCCCTATATAAGGGTTATGAAATTATGAATAGATCAAATGTATTATTTTTTGGGAAAAAAAAAAATCAATGAAATGCTTTCATAATATTCTAAGCCTTCCCTTTGTAGCCCAAGCATAAACAATCTCACGGTGAAAAGGCGAACTACAAGTGTTCACAAGCAGTTGCAGCCTTATAAATACAGCTAGAAAATGAGACTGAACTTGTTTAACAGAAGAATCATGTGTTTATGCTTGCAGTTTTCTTTCAAATGCTTCTCTAGATGAAGGCATCTTGTACCCTGTGGGTCCCTAACATGTAGCATCCAAAACCTGTAAAAAGAAATAAAAATAAAGGAAGGATTGACACAAGAATTCTTTTCAATCCTCTTCACATTTGAAGGAAAGCAAGAGCTATGCATTAAACATAGTAAAATAAAGAAACCAAAACTGATAAGGATTTACGAAACAGAAAAATGTTTGACACTTCCTATAGATAAATAGCAGAAATGACATATCATCCTATTTTTCCCTGATGGTAGCACTAAATTCCCAACTGGTGTATTAAGGGACGAGGGCAGAAGGAAAAAAATTGAATGCAACTTCTGTTGAGTTCTTAGACAATAAAGGAAGATGGACTGACCTGGAGAACAACATCTGAGGAGTCGATACCCTAAATAAGTTTTCTCTTATCCTTCTCAAACATGGTGTGCCAAACTAGATCCCTGAATCCATGTTCTCCACTTCCTCCACTGAAAGTAGAGGCACCATACTTCTGCTCAAAGGCACCTGCAGAGGTTAACACCAAAAGTATAGCACAGAATTAAATTACGTTTTGAGTTTTAGAAAGTAAGGGTAGAATTAAGAAATTTATTCACATTAAGGATTATCAGCTTTACGAAATAAATACTTGTAATTTGCTGCCCAGAGCTAGCATTTCCTTTTCCACTTTAGTCCAGATGCATCCTCAAAATGCATGGTGTCAAGAAGATAAACTCCGGCTTGCTTGACAGATGTACCAGATAAAAATTAGTTAGACAAAATTCAGATTAAAGAAGACAATAGGAAAATGGCATGCTAGTTAGAACATATATACCTTAGCTAATTTTGGAAAGGTAAGAACTAAAATTGACACTGTAACACTATGGCACCATTTTGCCATTTGTTTATGATCATTACATCATCAACTCTGTATAGATCCAAAATCTAAATAGGGATTATTGATTTTGTTCATTAAAGGCGATTCAAAGCAAGCAGGTCTTACCATGTGCCTAGTATATGTTGTGTCTTCACCAATATAAAAATGCTTGCTTAGAAAGGAACAAGCTCATAAGAACTATCTTTCCCACATCATTTGCAAGTCATAGGAAATTCTGCTCTTCTCTAAAAAGTGACTGAAGATCAGAATACATATTCAAACAAAGCTATTGTGATAGGAATTTTGCTCCAATAAAAAGAGAGGGCAATCAAATACCTATTTGGATTGTGTTAATTAGTAGCAATCCACTAGCTTCTCATCACCAACATGCTTTTCTAACACAGCACCAATGGCACAAACATCAGCCTGCCCACAGATGAATGTAACACACATGCCTAGATCCAAGGACAGCCATTACAATTTTCTTTTGGAACAGGCGTGATCATTGATGAAGTTTAGCCATAAGTTCAATTAAAAAAAATATGAATCAAAATACTATTTTGAAGCATTATACTATCACTAATAACGTTCAAAACAAAGATAAATAGCAATATCTCACAATTTCAGCCAAAAATGCTTATTACAAGAAAAGCAAAGATGCAGATGTAGCAAAAGAAATACCAAAGGAAATAAGATAGATCCTTACACAGGTTTGAAAGACAAAATTACACAGATAAGAAATAAACAGTTCCACTTAGAATTTGACATATTTAAAC